GGGGGGGGGGGGGGGGGGGGGGGGGGGGGGGGGGGGGGGGGGGGGGGGGGGGGGGGGGGGGGGGGGGGGGGGGGGGGGGGGGGGGGGGGGGGGGGGGGGGGGGGGGGGGGGGGGGGGGGGGGGGGGGGGGGGGGGGGGGGGGGGGGATAGTGATTACAACCTTAGACTTGCTTGTCAATCCATTCGCCATGTTATTCGAAGTCGAACCATCTGTAACAACCAACTGATGATTTAGGACTGGTTCTGAATTGAGAATACTAGAAAATTCGGTTTTCTGAATCATTTCATTGTTTTGAAATTGTTCATCTCCAAGAAAGACTTTGCAAAGTGAGCTGGTCTCCTGCATATTGCCCAACCAAACAAGCAATTGACTAATAGGCTGGGTAGGAAAAGAAAAAAGGGCAATGTCAGCCAATGAACCTTTTGGCAAATAGATTTTGCAGGATATACCTCTTGCTCGATGGTTGCACGCAGGTCCATCTGATTCATCCAGTACTTTTGCATAACCCAGGCTGTTTTACTCTCATAAGGTGCTTGACCTTCATAATATTCATAACTTGTTCTCCCTCCAGTGAAGGAAGAGTTTGTATACAGTTTACAGTCTCCATCTTTCAGCTTCCAGCGACCAAAACTTGAGCCAGCATCCACGTTGCCCTCAACGTAATACCAAACTCCATCTGGACATAAAAAGTACCTTAAGCTTCATTGAAACTAAACAAGCATGTCTCAGCTGTAAATTTGTAATTCGTAACTTTGACACTGTTTTGAAAATTGAAGCAAGGAATCAACATTGAAATTGTTTTATGATATAAACTGAAAATACAATGTTCGACACGCAGCAATTCAAGAGGCCTGAGCCTTGAAGAACATCATCATATCATGAACATTTTCTGGAAAACTTGGGAAATTAACAACATGAATTCTTGTGAAAAAAGTACCTGGTAAATTTTCAGGTTTACACTGGTAAGGATTTATATCATGAACATTTGCAGGAAAAGATCCTCCACTCCTTATTCTCCATAATGCTAAAAAAGTCTCATCGTCAGTAGAAAATAAATCAAGTATAGTCGAAGAGGTGACCGTTGAAGGAGTCATGGTAACAAGGAGAAGACAGAACTCTCGTCTAATTTTGTCTAGAGCTGTTCCAAAAGATATCACAAAACGAAACTCAATTAAGCTTCAAATCAAATCAATCCAATCTCGACTACGAATTGATCACCTATAAATGGAATCTCTCTTACATGAACAAATAATTCAAATGATGGGGCACAAATGATCAAGCCACACAGCGCGTACATATCGATTCATCCGTAAAGAAAGAAACAAGAGAATAAAAAAAAAGGTCCAAAAATCACTCTGTTAATTGAAAAAATAGCTGCAACGAGCTGTAATATAAGCGACACAGAAGATCAGATATAAATGTTCCCACCCAACAATTGCAGGCTACAGCTTGGGGTTCATAAAACCCAAATCACGTATCGTTCAAAATCAACAACGAGTTAGCCGATCATTACATTACATTACATAATTTCAATCATAAAGACAGAGAGGAAACAAACACACCGATCAACTACAAGAAATAAACCCTAAACCCTAAACCCACCACTCGATCCTTCAACAATCACCATCCAAATATGATTTTCAGCGAAGAATCAAACAGAACGGAAAAATCAAGTAAAGATTGAGAGAATAGTAGATACGAGTACAAATATTCACAAAATGGGGGCGGATCAGAGAATCCCAACCTGGAAGATCGTCGATCAGAGAGAAGGAAAGATGAGTCGCTGAAGTCTCCTCGTTTGTCCCAAGAGTGGGAGAGAGCGGGAGGATGCATATATAGGGTTTGGAACGGCAGAATGGCCGTCAAAACCCAACCATGGTTACCCTAAACTCCCGCACACAGTTAACAGTTCTAATTAAACCGAACGTGGTGGTCAAATGACGAATTGGATTCACACAGCGCTTCGTCATTGCCCCCAGCTCAGTCGTTGTGGAGTTGCGAGTGAATGTGTCCCGGTGGGTGGACCCTCTTCCCCTGCTGCCCGTTATTGCCGGGCATTGCCCGTTTCTGCCCACTATTGTAATTTCCACATTCTCCAGCTGACCATTAATCTGACGTGGATGGCTCTGACAAGACACTGAATGGCTCTGACAAGACACTGAATCTATGATCCTGTTCTGCCTCTTCCTTAATGGATAAATGGTCACTTGATTCGTTGATTTTCTGACACTTTCCCTGAAGAACGTAAACGAATCTAAAATAAATAATATAATTATTAAAATACAATACATAAATAGCTCCCAATCTTTATAGTTTTCCTCAAACTGTCCCTAATCTCTAAAAATTATCCATTTTCATGCACATATATAAATATTGATATTTAAAAAAAAATAGACTTAATTTAATTTTGATTTGATCTATATATTAAAATTTATTATTATTTTTTTATTTTTATACGGTTGAACTAAAAAAAATATTTGAATTTATAGAGTTTTTAATTTTTTTAATACATTATTCCTATACCGTTAATATTCTAGTAATACCTCCAAATTTATCAATAAATTGAATTAAAGAAAATAAAAAGGTAAAAGATAAATAAAAATTCCGTCGTGGACTTTTGCGTCACGCAGAAACCATGCGGATTCCGAGACAACGCAAAGCCAAACCGAAATGCCCAAAATAACCATCGAGTGGACCCAACAATTTACTGACCGAAAACCGACTGTATCCGTTCATTATAAAATAATAATAATAATAATAATAAAATTAAAAGATAAAACGATGACGTGTTATCCAGAAGTCGGGAATCTCCTGGAATCATTCTAGGTCATTCCAGGACCTTCTTCGTCTCCGTTCCGAAGCTGCGACGGGGTGTCGTCTGGACCGTGAAGCGGTCGGCTTACTGTTCGGCCGGTTCACATTTTCCAGTTCGGTCCGTCGTCGGGCGTTGATAGGAAGGATCTGTAAACAGGGAGACTTGTGAAAATGGAGGATCGCTTAGCGAGGTATGAACTCTGTTATGTATTTTTGGTGTCTGGAATTGATCTGTTCGTGGATTCGATTTTCATATTCGTAGACGCAGTTCGTGTTTTGAATCGTTCGTACTCACGGTTTAAGGTTTCTCCTGCTGGTTTCTCCCCACGATTCTTAGGGATTAGAGAACAAGGATTGTTAGATTATACTTTTTGGTAGAACATAATTTCATTTCATAAAGCTTGAATGAAAATATAAAATTCCCTGTGAGTTAGAATTGATAAGTTCATCTTAATGTTCATCATTTGTATTTGGTTCTTGATTAGTGATTTTTATGTGTTGGAAAGTCTGGAGCTCCAATAGTGATCTGGTAATCTTCGTTTCACACACACAATCATACGATTTGGTTAAGTTCCTGCGTTGTGTGAATGTGATATTTTTTGAATTATGTGCTAACAGTATGCTTGTTGGGTGGGTGTGGAGCCAAAAGTTTCCATAAGGGGACAAATAACTTTGAAAAACTAATCTTCCATTGTTTTTGGCTTCATCCACTTCCTTCTTTACTGGTGTTTGTAAATTCCTGGCAATTTATGTGCTCCCCTTCTGCTTCAGGATCCTCTATCAATCACAGAGTAGTCAATGAGACATCCGTGGATGTGGAAGCTGAATTTCTTGATCATCAATATATAAGGTGCTTCTACATGGTATGGTAGCGACTTTGTCAACGTTTTACTATTTTTGTGAGAGATCCCACATCGGTTGGAGAGAGAAACAAAACATTTCTTACAAGGGTGTGGGAACCTCTCCTTAGTGAACGTCTTCTAAAATCTTGAGAGAAAGTTCGAAAGGAAAAATCCAAAAAAGACAATATCTTCTAGTGGTGCGTTTAAGCTCTTGCAAATAGTATCAGAGATAGATATCAGACGGTGTGCCAATGAGAACGCTGGGAGATTTGACATCTGATGGAGAGGGGAACGAAATATTCCTTATAAGGGTATGAAAATCTCTCCCTAGTAGACGTGTTTTAAAACTTTGAGAGGAAGCACATAACGAAAAGTCAAAAGCGGGCAATATTTGCTAGAGGTGAGTTTGAAAGGTTATATTTTGACTCTCATACCCATTTATTAATGAACCTAAGGATTTTCATCTGTCTTTTGGTGTTCTTGAGAAGGGTTATTTGTCATCCAAACAATATTAGTGACTGTTGTTCTCTGTTTTTTCAACCTTGCAAGTTGATCTGACGACCCTACTCTTCCAACCAAACTAATGGTTGTTTTTCATAAAGAACCTCCGGATGTTTTCAGATGTCAAAAAACCACTGGTTTGTACTTCTGTCATTTGGGAATTTTCAGATGCCTTCATTTCCAAAATTTGTTAGGTTTAGTTCTAAGTTTATCTTACGCAGAACCTGTTTTCATTGTTTCCATGTACAAGTCTGATTTGAGGCAGGTTCACAACCTTGGTCCAGGTTATAAGGTCCGCATGTCTTTCATATTTTAGACTAACCTCTTTCTTCTCGGCCGACAGGTGGTCCTCTCCCGCTCTCTCTCTATCGGTCGAGCAGCTTCACTCCTTTCCAATCTCATTTTTTGATCGACAGGTAGGGTTTATTCTAAGGTTCCTTATTCCGATTGTAAAGCAGAATAAGTACTTCGCCCTGCCCCTGTCTTATAAAACAGATCCTAAAAAAACAAACGCACAAAAAAAATTGAAAAGGAAAGAAGAAATCTGTATTCATGAGATATAGAGTTTTAAAAGTGTAAAGATGCTCTTGGTGTTCTAATCGTAGTATTTAGAGTTTCGGTGGTTGTTTGTTTAATGTGGAGCATCTGCAGGAGTATGCCAAAAGCTAGGTTACTACATCGAACTGTTTGCTCGAGAGATGAATCCCGGATGCCATTTTTAAGAATCACGATGCTTCACAATCACGTAAGTCATGCCATGCCGGGATTCATGCATCTATCCTCATGCAGGGGGTGGGGTTATGGCCTTGAATTCGAGTAATGGGTCATTTTCCAAAGCCATATGGGGGGTGGCCACATGCTTTGATCTTTTGCCTAGCATGGGCATCTGCGAGTGCTCCCAATCCCTCGAAGGAAAGCTGTCGTGTCAGCCACGGCCCCACCCTGCTGCTAATTATTTGTATCATAACCAACTCATTTATGCTTCTTCTAATTATTAGAAAACATTTGTATACAATAATAAAATAAACAATGTAATATCCTTAAATTAAATTTATTTACTTTCTACCCATATTTAAATAAAAAGAAATATAATAATTTTATATAATAAATGGGACTAAAAAATGAGTCCCAAATTTTAGTCGAATTTCAATTGGTTTGGAAAAAAGAAACATGTTTTTAATCATTAACTAATTTTAGGGTATATATGTATATATATTATTATTTTGGTTGAAAATAGCTCATCACGCGTGGCAGTGGTGGTCTGACGTGGACTCTTAATCACCGTCCGATCAGGAGGCCCAGCCGTTTTCAACCATGTGGGGCCCAAAGTCAAAGGACAAGGAAATCAAACCGCAGTCGTCGTGGTCGTCGTCTTCTTCTACTTCTTTGTCTTCTTTTCCTACTGTAAAATTCTCCATTTCTTCCGTGTACTTTAATACCCCACCCTCACTCACCACTTCTTCCAATAATCCAAATCCCACAGCCGTTTTCCATTTCCTGCGGGACTTCCCTTCCTCACGCCATTCTCGCTGCGGAAAACCGGAAAATGACCTCCGACGGCGCCACTTCTGCCACCACTTGCCGGCGGAAGCCGTCCTGGAGGGAGCGGGAGAATAATCGGACCAGAGAACGACGAAGGAGAGCCATCGCGGCTAAGATCTACGCTGGCCTTAGGGCTCAAGGCAACTTCAATTTGCCTAAACATTGTGACAATAACGAGGTCCTTAAAGCCCTCTGTGCTGATGCTGGTTGGACCGTCGAAGACGACGGAACCACTTATCGGAAGGTCGGTTGATTTTCCTCTTCTTTTCTTGCTCTCGATCGGTAATCGGAATTAGCGATTTGTGTACTTGTTCTTGTCTCTGTTGGATTTGAATTTTGATCTGTTCGAATCGCCACCGGGATCGATCTGGAAAGTCGATCGGGGGTTTGGTTCTTGTAATTGATTTGAATCAGGTTGAAATTTTGTGAATTAAGTTGGATTGTGCCCTAGAAATGAAATGATAGATGGTGTTGTGTTTGTTCTTGGAACAGGGATGCAGGCCGCCCCCAATCGATATCGTCGGCAGTTCCAACAGAGCCACCCCCTACACATCCCAAAATCCAAGCCCATTGTCTTCTTCATTTCCTAGTCCTATGGCATCCTATCAAGTCAGTCCCTCCTCCTCCTCCTTCCCGAGCCCGTCCCGTTTGGACGCCAACCATCCATCAAACCTCATTCCATATCTTCGCCAAGCGATTCCCAAATCACTTCCTGGTCTTAGAATCTCAAACAGTGCTCCCGTGACGCCTCCTCTTTCATCCCCTGCCTCAAATTGGGAGGTCACGGCTAAAGAATCCTTGTCCTTGTTGAATTACCCTTTCTTTGCAGTATCCGCCCCAGCTAGCCCGACACGCCCTCAGCTGCTGCATACTCCCGCCACGATCCACGAATGCGATGAGTCTGAATCATCCACCAATGACTCCAATCAATGGGCACTTCTCCGTGCCTGTGCGCCAACTTCTCCCACCTTCAACCTTATGAAACCTGCTGATCAGCATGCTCTGCACGGTGGTTTCATCAAAGAAAATGGAAGAGGAAAAGAATTTGAGTTCTTGGGCTGCAAGGTTAAGCCCTGGGAAGGGGAGAAGATCCATGAAGTTGGATTGGAGGATTTAGAGCTCACACTCGGTAGCTGTAAGGCTCAAAATGATAACAATAGTAAGAAACCTTGTTTTGATTGATTCATAATCTATCTGGGAATTTTGATATATGTCATATTAAAAACACTGAAATGAAGAACACATATTGCTCTGTTTTTCATCGTTCAAACTCTGTTTCAATTCAGTTCAACCATTTGCTTGAATTTTCCATTGGATGGAACTGAAAATGGATCGGGATTGGGATTGGGATTGGGGTTGTAGTGGGGTGGGGGCCATGAGAGCTGGTTGGATGTGCTTATGGCAGAGCCCGACAAGCTCCATGTTCGACCACACACTTTTAATGAATACAGTTGACAACGTAATAAAAGACAAGAAAGTTCTGTCCTTGCATATCTTGACTACAGATTCAAGCTGACTGCCATGGGTTGTCTTCTTCCACGGTTTCAACATGATTATGTTTGGATTAAATTAAATTAAACGTTCAAATGTTCTAAACCAGTGAATTTTGGAATCAACATACGATTCAAGTTTGATATTGTAATCTCTAGTGGCTTTACTTTGGCCTTTCTCAAAAGGCCTCATCCTGTAGAAATTATTATTTGATTATAAATTCATGATTATTCTTTTGATTAGGCCTAAATTGTAGATGAACTTACATCCTCCAACAATTTTCACCAATTAGATAAATATTAGTTGATTTAACATAAAAATAAAAAAGTATTTTTTTAAAATGTATTTTGAGAGAGTTAAAAAAACAAAAAATAAAATAAATAAATAAACAAGCACTCTCCTCCAAGCTTATGGTCTCCGTCTCCTGCAAATTCTCTTGTTTTTTTCTTTTTTCTTTTATTATTTTCTCTGACTTAACGAATGTCATGGCACGAATAAATAGAACAAAATCAGAATCCCCCAAACGACGTCGTTGGATACTCATCTCTCAAATTAATCTCCAATCTCCGGTCAATTTGGGGGAAACAGAAACTTCCCGCCGCTAGCACCGCCATGGCTTCCAAAGCTCCCCCCTCCTCTACCGAGAAACAAAGAGACTTCTTCAATCACCTCGAAGCTTACCTCGCAAAGAGAGACGGCGTCGACAAGCTCTTGAAAATCTCCAGGTACGCCACCAAGATCATCCTCTCCTCCTCCGCTCTTCCCGAATCCCTTCCTCTAACGCACCGTCTCAAGAGCTTCGAATCCAGCGTCGGCGTCAGCCGCAAGGCCTTCCGTCTCGGAAAATTCATCCAAGACCTAAACGCCTTGAGAAATTCGCATTTCGAATCTAGCCAACAACTTCTGCTCGCTCTCGTTGCCTATGGCGGAGAGGGATTTTATTACTTTATCGAACAGTTCATTTGGTTGGCTAAATCTGGTTTAATTGACAAACGGCACTCGAATCACTTGCAGAAGATCAGCGCGTGGGCGGAATTAATCGGCTATATCGGGAGTATTTCGTTGAAATTTAGGGATTTGAAACGGATTCTTGAAGACGAGGCGTGTTTGAAAGCGAGTATTGAGATTGCAGTTACCAGAGGGGATAAACATCGAGAAGAGGAAGAGAAGATGAAGAAATTGCAAACGAAAAAGCTGATGAAGAAGCTTTCGATTGTTCAAGATTTTGCCGATGGATTCATGGCGGCGGCGGACATTCGCGATGGGAATGGCCGGCTTTCAGGTCCTCATCTAATTTCTTGGGCTGGGCTTATCTCGGCATTGATTAGCACTCATAAGAACTGGATATCATGCTGAAATTCCTCTCCGTCTCGATCTTACTAGGCTCAATTTTCTGTCCATTTTAGATTTAGTTCATTTCAAAACATTCATAGCACACAGCTACACACATTATTATACTTTTTAACATTTTTAAAAATTGAGGATAATATTTAAACTTTTAAAAATTTATAAATATATATATATATATTTTTATAGATAAAGTGATTAATTTAGCCCACTGCCAAACAGTATACACGTGACTCGATAAATTTTATTATACCAATTAAATCTCTTCCAGTTATGTCGCTATTCCTTGCTGTAAATCAACGTATAAAATTAACTTTAAATTTACATTATCGTCTAATTACACCTTTTGATGATATTAAAAAATTATTTTGATGGTAACAATTTAGTTTACAAAGTTTATTTTATAAAGATTATACTTTTAAACTCAGTAACAATTTAGTCTCCTTCATTTTTACTGGATAATAACAAAATACATATAATAAAGTCTTCACGGAAGTCAAGAAATAAACATGTTTTTAACGTAGAATTAAATTATCAAACAATTATGAGCGCATAATTGAAAATCTAAAGAATTTTAGAGTTATATAATTAAAACAGGTAAATTCGTATATTATAGATATTTAATAAATATTTTTTTTAAAAAAATTATTCGATCTGTTAGAAATAAAATAAAATTTTATATCCAATTTTAAACTTTGGTATTTAAATTTTTTTTAAAAAAATGAAAACTAAATTTATAATTTAAAAAATTAAGAAAGCTAAATTAAAAATGAAAGAGATAGGAGCAAAAAGAAAACGGTCGTGACAACGCGATCTTAGTCTGGAAGCTCCTGAGGAGCTTGGCGAAGCATAGAAATCTTGATCGAATCGGAATCGCGTCTGCATAGGGAAATGGCGTCTGAGCTCCACCAATTGAGGTTCGACCCACCCCAATCCAACGCGTCCGATGAGTCTTCTGCCCAGGACGATCGTCCACTGTTGAATCCAGACTCTGACGCCGTCGCCGTCGCCGACGACGATTCCGACGATCTCCACCAGAAATATGCTCCGTTTGTCCGACGAGATGTTTACGGCACCATGGGCCGAGGGGAGCTGCCGTGGATGGAGAAGGTGCTGCTAGCAATAGCGCTCGTTACAATCGTTCCTATACGGGTGGTTATTGGGATGAGTTTGCTGTTCCTCTATTACATGATTTGCAGAGTTTGCACGTTTTTTCACGATCCGAATAGGGAGACGGATGAGCAGGAGGACTACGCGCACATGGTGGGATGGAGGAGGTCCGTAATTGTTTGCACCGGAAGATTTCTGTCCAGAGCCATGTTATTCGTTTTAGGGTTTTATTGGATTTCGGAAGTTTATCGAATCCTGCCAAATGAGGACAAGTCAACTAACGAGGTGCGCTTTAATTTCTGCTGTCTTTTCCAAGTTCAGACTCGGTCATTGTTTTGTTCTGCTTTCTTGTATATTTCAGTTCATAGTTATCTTAAACTCTACATCTTTGAGATTGTTCTCGTGTTCACTGTTATTTGCTCTTTCCTCTTGAATGATGTCTAGAACGAGGGGCAAGAGAAGTCTCAAGAATCTGAAAGACCCGGGGCTATTATCAGCAACCATGTATCATATTTGGATATCTTGTATCATATGTCTTCTTCCTTTCCAAGTTTTGTTGCTAAGGTTTGTTCAAACATAATTTTTCTACTTTTACTACAACGACAGATTCTGCTTTTCTGATCCTCGATTTTTCTTCTTTTCCTTTGTTTGGCTGAAGAGATCAGTGGCTAACATTCCTCTGGTTGGTATTATCAGGTTAGCCTTGTTCTTTCTGGTACATCTTGACTTCTCTACTGTATTGCATCATATGCATTCGGTTCCCAAATATTGGTTTCATTGAATTATTTTACAAAAACCCAACTTTCTATCGAAGGGTAATCTTCAAAATTTAGGGGAAAATCCAAAAATTACCCCTGAACCTGTTTGACGTTTTATGTTGCTCAAGTTTAGCTGTTGTTGTTTGTGACAGCAAGTGCCTTGGCTGTGTTTATGTTCAACGGGAGTCAAAGACATCTGACTCCAAGGGTGTTTCAGGTAGATTGTTGTTGCTTTTTGAAACTTGTTTAGAGATACTCATTCCATTGGCTTTATGACTTATATTTGAGTTCGTTAGTTTTTTTAAGACAACATAGGAAACCATCATTGTTCGCACAATCTTATTGTAAATCCCCAATACCGCACGACTCTTGCATTAGAGTTCATTCAAGGACATTAGTCCCACGAAATAGCTCTTAACTGATGTTCATCTGTAATTCCGCATCTGGTCTTCAGATATTAATCATCCTGTTGCTTGTAGGTGTTGTGAGTGAAAGAATTCGAGAAGCTGTGAAGAATAGCTCTGCTCCCATGATGATGCTTTTTCCAGGTTTCTTAATGTGGTCTTAACCACATTCTCTTTTATTTTGTTTCTTCCTGATTTATGCGTGCCCCTTTAACTTAAGAGAATCACAATGCTTCAACTTATCTCATTTTGATAGTTGAGGACTTTTGGCTTTGTTATTTAAGCAAGGTATACATTTACCTAACTCACAGTGCTTGAAATTATCTGACTCCTTTCTCATAGTTCCTAAAGAAGCTTTTGGCTTTGTTTCTTCCAGAACTTCTTTTTTTTTTTTTTTAATTCTTAACATGATCATCAGTAAGCTCATTAGCCACCAAACAAGAGTCATTAGTTTCTCTGTCTTCCATGAAAGAAAATTGGGAAGAAGAAACGGAGGGAGAGCTTTTTTGAGCGTTTCAGCTAAAACTTTGGGAAGGGGATAAGATTGTTGGGGCAAAAAGCCTCATTCTTTTGGCTTCTGATTCTTAGATAGCAATAAAAAGTGTATGAATATCGACAAATTTACTTGTGAGAATGGCTATTGTGATAATCTAAGGACTAGTTAAGAATTTGTGCTTGTGGGTTTTTCATCGTCCAAGTTGTTTAATGTGTTATTATTACTTCTACAGAAGGAACAACTACTAATGGCGAGTTTCTCCTTCCATTCAAAACGGGTGCATTTTTGTCGAGAGCTCCAGTTCTTCCATTGATTTTAAGATATCCGTATCAGAGATTTAGTTTGGCCTGGGAATCAATAACAGGAGTAAGGCATTCTATTTTATTCTACTTTGCCCTCTCATCATGTCTTCTTAAACTTTTGAAGGAGAATTAGCTGAATGGAAGACATTCATTATCGAATCGAGTGGTGCAGTACCTTTTGATGTGTTGGACTTTCTAAATATTGAACATTTTTAATACCCCAGACATGGATTGAACCCACAGCGCCTTACATGAGTTTGTTGCTTTTACCTCAAATTGTTGAACCCCAACTCGTTTGTGGCAACCCTTTTGATATTGTAAAAGGTTTCAGGACCACCCAGTTTAATAGATATTTGAATTCTTATTGGCAGGGCCGTCATTTTTTACTTCTTCTCTGTCAATTTGTAAATCACATGGAGGTAATAAGACTGCCTGTCTACGTCCCATCACCAGAAGAAAAGAATGATCTGAAGCTTTATGCTAATAATGTTAGAAGGTTGATGGCCAAAGAGGTATGCTTTCTCCTTCGTTGCACTATTCTATAATCATTTAGGAGACAACGAGAAAAACTTTGAGACCTTTCTGATTAATTTTCTTTCAAGATAGTTTCCTATGCAATCACAATTTTCAGAGCTCGAGCTAAAGTTATGGCGACTGCTTTTATCTGCAGGGAAATATGATGCTTTCGGATATTGGACTCGCGGAGAAGCGTGTTTATCTTGCTGCTCTGAATGGTAATAATAACACCCATATTGTTTTGCATCAGAAAGACGACTGAATTCACTAGTTCGTGTGTAGTTTTAGTTTGTCCAGGAATGAACTTTTATGATGGGGGAAGTTACGCACCCGGGTACTACTAGAGTGTGTTTCTTGGCCTGTATAATATATATATCTAACAAACATAATATTTGAGTAGAGTTTAGTTTTTACTTAGTATGGTGTGAGTTTGTGTGTGACATCCTACGTTGGAGAAGGGAATAAAACATTTCTTATAAGGGTGTAGAAACCTCTCCCTAGAAGACGCGTTTTAAAACTGTGAGGTTTAGTGTCAAAACAGATAATATCTTCTAGTGGTGGACTTGAGCTATTACAAATGATACTAGAGTCGGTTACCGGACGAGGACGTTAGCCCCCAATGGGGGTAGATTGTAAGATCTCATATCGGTTAAAAAGGGAAAGGAAGCATTCGTTATAAGGGTGTGAAAATCTCTCCTCTGGAAGATGCGTTTTAAAACCATGAGGTGGGGACGCATTTTAAAACCGTGAGGTTGAGCAAAAACAGATAATATATGCATGATTTAAGTTTTGGGAATGGAATTGAAAGGGTTGGCAATATTTGAACGTGTCAGAAATTGCCTTGAGAAAGCAAGCTTAAGCAAGCCTATTAATCCGAATTCTGAGGTGTTGTCTCTTTGGTGTTCTGCAGGTACACCGCAGCAATGCTAATTTGGGATGTCATCATCTGTAAATTCTTGTAGATGATAAATATATGGAAAACAAAATACCCTCACCATCATGTGCAAGTATTCATTAATTAATATCATCCCGAATAAACTTGTTCGTATGATTCTTCTTGGGATTTTTCATTTGTGCTGCGTAGCTTGTGTACGTTCTTGTGAGTCTCATCAAATTTAGGATTTTCAATTCGGCTGAGGATTCAGTTCACATGTGAATCTCACGATAATTTTGTTTGAGAATCATGAGGTCCAGCAGGCTGAGCTTGACGTAGATTCGTTTTCGAATCTCATTGCTCGTCCGCTGCCGGAGCTTCCAAGGCAATTTGTGGCCGCGTCGATGAAGCTGAAGGTTCTGGTCTCGTTTGAATCCTCTGTTGCAGATCTCGCACGGGAATCGGTTTGTTGCTAGAAGCGATTTCGGCGACAGAACGATCACCAACGCTGCCGGATCTGGTATCCCCGGGAGATTCCGCTTCTTCTTCGCTACAGCTACAGCGTCGATTATCTCGATTTCAACTCCCGGCGAGCAAGATGCCGCAACCGCCGCCGTTGGAGGATTATTCTCTACCGATACCATTGGAGATTTTCGATTCAGAAAATTAGAGCCGGAGAAGAAATGAAAACCGGACTACTTAGAGAATTTCAGAGCATCATTTTCTTTGAGTTTTACGTAAATGTCAAAATTAAACCGGTCGTCGGATTTTTCGCCGGGAATGCGTGATCCTTCGAGGCGGCGGTCACTTCGCAGTTCACACTTGGGAGGAACAAGAGGGGCAGAAGTTGAAGAAAGAGCCAGAAATTTAAAATTTCGGTTATCTTTTCTTTTTTTCTTCTTATTAAAGCGGCGCGCCAACCATGGTTAAGCTTCCAACTACGTGTAGGTGGATATACCCTGGGCCCCACGGACGCCACGTGTCCGGAGCTGCGGGTTTATTAATTTTCGTAGGCCAAGTCGGACTACTTCAGCCGGTACATGACGTATAGTAGAATAATTTATTCCATTTTTTTAAAAACCAGAGCCACGAAAAGACGATTATACCCCTAAACAAATTATCAGATTAAAAGAACTCGTGACAGAATAATTTCTCCGACCAACAGTGTACAGGAAGAATCTCGCCACGTGTAAGATGATGACGAGGGATTTTATTTTAGAAAAGGAAGGGTTGTAGATCCGAGATTGTAGGTTTGGTTGCATATTATAAAATCTCCTAACCCTTAATCTGGATATGGGAGTTAGGACAGCTATGGAAAACAAGTCTCGTCTTAACCCAAACTTCAAATGAATTTGAAGCTGAAGGAAAAGCAAGAAACTCCACAACCATCCAACCAAGGTGTAGAACAATGCATGATCTGGGGAATTTGCAGTAATGCTATTCATATAGGCTGTTGATCGAACAAACCGAATCGGTTTGGTCTGTGTCGCTGTCTGAAATGGTACAAACTTTACACCAAGCAAGAAGAACATTATACAGATCGCAGGTTGTAAGCAAGGCGATTCAAATGTAAGAACTAAGCTTACCCAGACAAGCATGAACCCCAGAGGACTCATGTTTCAGGACGAGTTGTTTATAATATTCGTAAACTCGTGATTCTTCGTATTTCTACTTGATAGTATAATTTTACATGATACATCTCATGAAGAACTTGAATTTAAGTTAAGACTGTTAAAACATTGAGCAGGCATGATGGAATCAGCCGAAGTATGCAAAGGGTAACAACAATTTCAAGAAGAAAATTGCATTATTTCACCTTTTTTTTTTTTTTTTTTCTTTTCCTTCTCCTTTGCATGCAACTAGAAACACAGAGATACAGTAATATACGAGATCAAACACGTTCGTACCGACCAGCAAACGCAAACGAGCAATGGGCAATGGGAAAAAAGAGAACGTAATCAGGACTCAAGAACTTGAACTCTTTGAAGCAAAGATTTCTAGCTGATACCTACTTTTCCTTTAACTGCTTTCATCCACCACCTGATTCACCACCTGGTTGTTTGCAAATAGAGGCTCCCTTCGTTTCGGAAATCCTGGAGGTTCTAACGGCGATCCCCTAAATTTGAGCTCAGAAGCTGCTCTATAATTTGGATCAACTGCAGCCTGTCTCGAGCTATGGTCACTTGTCGTAGCTGGCCTAAAAGAACTCGTTACCCCGCCAGGATACCCTGTAGGAGAACCATAACGCCGTGGCGGTCCTCTTAGGCCGCTGCCTCCTCTGAGATCCATCATATCAGTACTTCTCGAAGGAGTGTCTATGAAAGACGTTCGCATATCAGTACTTCTCGAAGGAGTGTCTATGAAAGACGTTCGCTCGGTCGATCCAGTTCCCAGTGGAGCTCCGGTAGTTGGTGAAGTGGCAGTAAAAGGGTCATCGGGTCCCCATGAAGTGAGTGCCTCCTTTTTCTTGGCAAAGAATTGCCAAGCTCCAAAGAGAAATAGTATGAAAAACAGAACAGGGCTTGTCCAGAGCATTGTGTTGAACTCTCCTTTATAAATTGGAAGATTAGAGCGATACATTCCTATATATCCACCTCCTAGTCCAAGAACCACAAGCTTTTCACGATCACTAGATATTAAGGGTATAAATTTTCCTTGAGACTCTAAATCCAAATTCTGGTTATTCAGGAAAGATGACCTGATCTCGTCCAAACGAGCCGAAAATAGAAGCCTCGGTGCACCAACTCTAACATAATGCTGCGACGACACGTTGAAAACATGAACCTTTTCGCTGCCAATCACAAGCAAATAACCCTTAACTGCCTGAAAGAAAAGTGGTTCATCAAGCTCAAACTTCTTCTTAGATCTAACCCTGCATTTAAAGTTCATTATATCTCCCAACAACATAACATGAATTAAATCGCCATCTGATGTAAACCCATAGGCTTTAGATCGCTCTGTGGCATCAAACACGTAGTTTCGAGCTAGAGAATAATTCAATCCCTCGCATTCGGATTCCCTAAGTTTCATGCTCCTCAAATCCAATGAGCCAGCACCAGTTTCTGTCAAGAACAAAAGCCTCTGCTTCAAGAATGCTATCGGCCTACTCGTCGGCATGACAGAACCATAAACTGTCCCATCTTCTCTGAAAACCTTGATCTTTCCCTTGACATCTGAAGACAGAATGTACCTGGTCCTCCCAACATGATGAACTTCCAATATGGAAATTGGCGACTTCTCCTCTCGACCATCAGTGACCACAAATTCCAAAACATGTTCCATGAAAATCGAATTCGACTCCTCCCCGTTTGATCCCTCCCAAATCCGAAGCATCGAGATCGCCCCGCTCTCGTGCCCAGTAACCAGAAGGGTCTCGTTCTTATAAATAGACATATACGAAAGCGTTGCAGTAATGGGTGATCCAGACATCGTACGAAGCTCAACCGCAACATCTCCATTTCTCACAAAGACATAAATTCTCCCTGTCTCATCTCCAACCGCAACATACTTGCTATGCCCCTCAAAATCCCTGAGCGGCAAGACATTGATAGAAGTAGCATCAGACTCCAGTTTTACAGCCGACAAAAAGTGGAACCTCTCAGACCAAAATGGACTGTATTTGGTCACTGAAACAGCTCTCCCTCTACCCCCATCTTGAATTTTAGTGTCCAAAGCGCCATCTCCACCATCATTCAAACCATCTTCTTTACCCCCGCCTAAACTAACCACCTCAGGCACAACCCGCCTCGAAGCATCAGTATTCAACTTCACATCTCTATGCACCGCCGTGGGAATATTAGATAACCTCAGCTCCAACTTACTAACTACATCGCTAAGGTTTCTCACTAACTCTTCGAGATTTTTCAGTAGATCATACTGTCTAGTTTCAAAAGGGACTTCAGTTTCAGATTGGTTCAGCTCAAAGGAGCTGGAACAACATACAAAATCCCTAGAAACATGGGGAATACCAAAAACGAATAGAAAATATATGAAAAGAAGCTTGCCTTTCCGCGGATTCGCCATTCAATAAGCTAGGAGAAGCTATTCAATACCTCGCCATTCAGAGTGAACTTAAATTTCGGATCTCTGATTCTGTTCGGATCTGGGAACAGGAGCGTTTCGCCGAAAACTTACCTGGATTTCTTTTGTTTGTTTCGCTTTTTTTACGAATCCGTGAGAAGTTATTACAGATCAAGAAAAAAAAAAAAAAAAAAAAAAAAAA